TTGATGTCTCTGGGAAAATTTTAAAGCAGTCTTTCAGTGCCGCTTTCAGAGCGCTCACGTCCGTAATGGGGAACTGTCTCGTAACATTGTTTTTCCCTCTTAAATGCGAACACGAAAAATAAGACAAAAGGAATATTTTGTTCTGTGGAGAGCCAGCCCTTCTTCATCCGGTGGATATTACTTTTTGTACTTTTGCCACCTAAAAGTTAACGTTTTTTTTGTGTCACGTCCGTGTATTTCCCTCATATTAAATATAAAACGCATGTGTAGACTGATATTTTTCTATTGTCTGGAGTCTGGACTCCTTTATTAAGGAGGATAAACAGACGTTTCAATATATTGGTATTAAATGCATTTTCTGAGAATTTACATTTCAAATTTTTTACCAAATGTCACGTCCATAACGCTGGAATTGCCCAATTTTAAAGAAATTATCCTCAACTAGTTTTGTGGTGTAGTGTAGGTCTACGTATTTTATAATGTTAACTTCAAACAATAGCCTACTAATAGTAATTTAAAGATGTGGTAGCATTGGATCTGGACGGGAAGGATAACGCTGGGAGTTGGAGTGTGTCGCGATTCTGCCTTCTCACTCACATTTCGGTTTCATATCGCATATCAGCCATCATTTCTACTAAAGAAAATGACAAAAAATAGTAACGCACAGTAATTTGGATCAGTAATTTTAATCTGAGTACTGGTTTGGAAACAGTAACGCGTTATTACTCGTTACTGAAAAAAGTTACCGGCATCACTGCTGGCGAGGGCCCCGTTCCTGTCCAGTGACGCAAGATCGGCGGCGTTTGAGGGGCCCCTAATTGGCACGGGGCCCTGGGGCGGCCGCACCCAAGCTATCTCCGCTACTGCTTCTGACCTATAATGCTGCCTGAATCATAATCATACACTGTTCGTTCGTTGGCCAGAGGAGAACTGGCCCCCCGACTGAGCCTGGTTTCTCCCAAGGTTTTTTTTCTCCATTCTGCCACCTGATGGAGTTTTGGTTCCTTGCCACTGTCGCCTTTTTCGCCATTGTTGCTTGCTTAGTTGGGGACATTAAATTCAACATTTCATTCAATTTTCAACAATAATATTTGATCTGCCTGCATTGACACCATTATATGAGAACTGATCTGAGCTGGACGATGACATCACGGTTTTCTCCAGAGATAAATTTCTCCATATATAAATGAACTAAATTACTAACTTTTTTACAACAAAAATGAAACATCACTGAACTTGCTTAAGCTGGACTGTGACGCTATTTTCTTCTAGAAACAAACTTTGTTGCATTATTTTCCTGTTATCTCTGTTAAGCTGCTTTAAAACAATCTGTATTGTAAAAAGCGCTATATAAATAAATGTGACTTGACTATACTGTATTCTAGATCGGCTTTTGCTTGATGTTTTCAATTCAAGCCTGTCTGCTCGAAACAATTTTCATTGGCAGAGAAAAAAAAAATTAAAACCATAAATTGCAAGTTACTCAAAGCTGCATTCCGTAACTTTTTTGGGTTAAAAATGATCCAAAATAGAGCAAGTACATAACCAGCCAGTGTTCAAAACTATCTGCTTGCCTTAGCTCGATTCAAAATGGTAAGCTTGTAATAATCTTTTTAATTCCAATGGTACTGGTGGATTTCCGCGGGAGATTCGAGCATGTCTTTGCGTCATTACGTCACATCTGTACACATAAAGAAGGAGTCTCGGTAGTAGGCTATATTGCATGTGAGGATGTTGGAGGTGGAGATTTATAGCCTTTTCTCACAGCACTTGATATAATTAAACGTATCAATTTGATGGCGGATCCAGAAGGGTTCAAACAACAATCACCAGTGACAACTAGAGATTCACCCGTTGTAAAATGCAAAAGACTTCGTTCGGACTTCGGAGTGGCTACAGAAAAAAGAGACTGCAACTGGGCCCATGCGAAAACAAGGATAAATATTGGAAGGGCATTAAATGTAGACACGCAATGCTGATGTTGTTAACATTAATAATTTGAGAACAAAGTATAATTTGCATGGTTTGATGTGATATAAGCGATCGTTAGATTTAATCAGCGCGATTTTGGTCAGAAAGAAAAGTGGATGTTACTTACTTAAAAATTCTTATGTTGGTCATTCTTCCAAAAAGTAGAATCTGTGATTCCGAATGACACCGGCGCGGCGACTGACAGCCTCACATTCTCCTCAAAACATTGTGTTCATCCGCGCTGTGCCGTACCGAGGCACAACTCACGTAAAGTTGATAATTCCGCGAATAACTGCAATTGCAGATTTCAAACAGAGATGGCGACAAAGAGGAAAAACTACGGACAGCAGCTTTAAAATTAACTGCAGTATATGATTTAACTGTTTTGTAAAAGTAATACTTCTTTAATATGAATTAAGAAGACAGCCGAGGTGGGGAACAAAGCAAACAAGCAAAGAGGCTGAATCTTTTTATTACTGTAATTCAGACTTATTGCTCCTCTATTGTAAAGTAATACAATAATCATCTCAAACTGAAATAATGTACACCACTGACAAGATATACATATACAGGACACAAATCAAATAAATTAATTTCGACTTTGTAAAAGTTGTTTTGTCAATATTTTCAGAGACTGATGCCCTTGGTAGAGCAGAATTCAAATTGGCTGCAGTTTCAAACCACAGAAATATTAGTGATTATTTACATCCCTGATCATATACATTAATAAACATAATGATAAATCTATTGCACTCTAGACTATCAGTGAGAAGAACACTGTAAAATATGTGCACATGTATGTGTACTGGTGGATAGACGGTTACTTTTTACACCACACAATGAATGCCAATGAATTGGTATTAATTTACATGGAAATCATGCGATGCATAACCTGGATTTGTAATTTATTGCACATGGCCTCCTGCAGACTCACACCTGTAGGTTACTCTCAGTCTTGCTCTTTTCCTCTAGCACCATGGGAATATTTGTGCTCTACTGGTTAATTAGACAGTGCCCTGTTGACCTCAGAGTTCAGTGTGCTTTAGAAACCCTGTGCTGATTAGTTGCCAATGATACTACACACTCGTGGACAATAGAGACCTACCAAGGTTTTTTAAATTTCCTTTATAGAGGTGAGCGAGTCACACATATCATCTAACACATCTAACACATTAATGGTTTCCTGCACACACCTTTTACCTACAGTCATAAATAGGCCCAGACGGAATCTTCTTTTTTTCTTTAACATTTGTGGGGTAAATCTAATAAATGGATTTAAACAGGCCCGGAACCACCATAGAACCCCACATCTCTCTCCAACTAAAAAAAAAAACCCAAACAGACATGGCCAAATTGTCCCCCCCAATATTAGATTTTTTATTCTTAATCCATTACACACCACTCTGTTTGTTGTTAGGATGTTAAAAAAAGGTTTGCCTTAGAAATCTGCCTTAGAGGCTCTTCAACAACAAAATGATTAAGATAGCCAATCAAATCAAATAAAGCGATGTTCCTGTTACTGTTCACAGAAGACTAGTGTAAATTTTAGCTCAATGCTTCAGTTTTAAGTGTGAGGTAAGATGTAAGTAGTAGCCTAGCTAAAAATGTATTATTTGACAACTGTTTTAGGAAAGAGTTTCACTGTTTTGAATTGAAAATATAGGCTATCATTTACTTGATTCATGTATATCATAACTGAATGTGACGAGACGAGAAACATTAACCATATTCGGCATATGATTAGGCAGACAGCTGAAAGTATACTTCGTTTACTCCAAGGAGAAGCGGAACGTGGACAAGAGACCATTTTCGTCAACAGCACAGTCCCCTGATGTCACAGCGTCTGCATGCAGCCCGATTTTTGTGTCTGCACGGAGTCGCGGACTTGTGCACGGACAACAGTGCATGTGCGAGCAGATGTGGACAGTAACAAAGTACATTTACTTGAGTACTGTACTTAAGTACACTTTTTGAGGATCTGTACTTTACTTGAGTATTATTTTTTTCTGGAAACTTTTTACTTTAACTTCACTACATTTGAAAGACAAATATCGTACTTTTTACTCCACTACATTTCTGTCAGGGTGCTTGAGTAGAAAGTTGTAACGTCAGTCAGGGGATGATTTTGGTTGCAGGGGTTGCATTTTGGTTTGAAATGAAAGTCGGGTTGACGTCACTGATGTCAACGTCAACCCGACTTAGAGAAAATCCCGAGCTCCCCACTGGTATTTACGACATTGTGGTGGCGTTCAACTCGTAAATACGATCTATACGAGATGACTTGAACGCACCATTGGTTTCTGACGTCCACCCGATTTTCATTTTCACCCACAATACAACGTCTGTCCAACGTTTGAGATTAACGTCAATCTGACGTTGGATTCTGACATCAACCTGATTTTCATTTTCAACATTGGGTTTGGTCTTTTTTTTCAGTGTTTTGGAGCACACTAGCTTATAGATAACAGTAAGGCTAACATATTCACACTAAAAGCCAAAAAACTTTAAATAGGGCACTATTTGAGGGAACAGCCATTTGGGTGTCCAAAACCATTGTGGACGTTATTGAGCGCCCTTAATCTCACAATGCCACTACTGGAACCGTGTTCTAGAAATAAATTTGATATTGATATGACGGTAGGTAGGCAGGCATAGATTCAGAGGCATAAGGTAGCTACTGTAACATACAACAATGCAAAAATAATAAAACAATGCGTTGACATTTACTTTTTACTTTTGATACTTAAGTACTTTTAAAAACGAGTACTTCTGTACTTTTACTTAAGTAAAAATCGGTCTTTACAACTTTTACTTGTAATGGAGTAATATTTGACCAGTAGTATCTGTTCTTTCACTCAAGTAAGGAAGTTGTGTACTTTGTCCACCTCTGTGTGCGAGTGATTTTGAGTGCTTGAAAAGAATGGTCTACTAGTGCACACACGTTGAACACGTCTGTCCACACCTGGTCCACACTCGCGGTCAAAAGAGTATATCCCCCCCCCGTTTGGATTTGAACATGATGAAATATGTTAAAAGGAGTTGAAAATAATCATATTTGCTGCTAAAAGCATAATTAAATAATCCAAGATATTTAATAAATGGACAGATGGATGGTGTACATAAGGGAATGCGCATTCAGATTCCGTGTGAGCCTAGTTACAAACCACATACACACAAACTCTCACTCTCTAACAGCCTCCGCCAGGCAGCGGTCAGTAGCATCGCTGCAATCTGCCCCGTGCTTGCGACGGATCCTGGTGTTAGTGCCAATACGAGTCTGCGTGTTTTGTGGCCGCAGCCTGCGCAGACGGGTATGCAGAACTTTGCGAAGTTTTTGGCGCGTGAACGCATAAAGCAGCGGATGTAGCACTACCGTCCAATAAGCGAGCACCAGAAAGCAGAGTCTCAGGCGTTCTAGCCAATCAGACGGCCCGATGGCCAGCATGAGAAGAGGAATGATGGAGAGAGGCGCCCAGCATAGCAGAAACGAGAGGATGATGATGACGGACATGCGAAAGACTCGCCTTCGACGTTCCCTTCGATCTCGGTGGCGCCGAACCGCTCGACGCAGAGCCAAAATGGCCGAGACTGACGCGCCCACACCCATGCTAGATGGACCCTGGATGGGGGCGGGACTTAGCTGAGTGGTTACTGTAGACACAGTGGGCATGGGAGTCAAAGGCGTGGCCACTGATGATGTAGCAAGGGTGGGAATGTGGGTGCTAGTTATGACAGACACAGATGCGGTGGGACTCAAAGGCGTGGTTGCCATTGATGCAGTGGGAGTGGGGCTTAAAGGCGAAGTTATCACAGACACAATGGGGGTGGGGCTAAGGGGCGTGGTGAGCGAGGGAGTGTTCGTCTCAGTGTTGATGGTTACCGTGGTAACTGCATCTGAGGTGATAAGTGGTGCAGTCGAAAGCGGCGGGGGGGAAGTGGGTGTGTTTGTCGTAATGTGATCCGGCGACCTCATTGACCTTTTACAGCGTAACCAGAGGCGAAGTCCAGGACCAGGTCGTTTGCTGTCTCGATGGGGCCTGGCCGTGCGTCCGATGCGGATGCGCAGTGCCTGAAGAATTCGGGAGTATGTAAACAGCATCACAGCGAGAGAGCACAGGAACACCGGAACCTGTAGTAACAGATGAGCCTGCAGAGTTCCTCCCCACTCTGAACAAAGCACAGTGCTATTGGAGTGCAGAAACACCCCCTCGCCTTGCCCCGACACAAACCCCGCCTCCACGAATGGTAGGAGTGGCATGGCTAAAGAAATCGCCCACACTGCAACAAGCAAAACGGTTGCCCTTCGAGGCGTCAGCAGGCGATTGGCTGGCCGGACACTGATGTCATAGCGGTCTAAGCTGATGAGCAGTAGGTTGAGTGCGGTGCCTACGCTGGCAAAGCTGGCTGCCGATTCGTGAAGACAGCAGAGGAGGGCGTGGTGAGGAACCGAGGCTCCGCCCAGTATGAGGAGCGTGGCAGTGATCGGCAGGCAGAGGAGACAGAGCAGCAGGTCAAGGGTGTGCAGGCTGAGCGTGACGGCATGGCTGACGGACTCCAACAGGCTGCAGTGACCACAGTATAACACCAGCACGGTCAGATTGCCGCCCACCCCCAGGAGCAACTCCAGCAGCAGCACAGCGCTCAGTGTAGCCCGGAAGCCCAGCCACGTCCCGTCCTGCTGTGCGAGTCCGACCCCCACGCTATCTTCTGCCTGTAAGAGGGACAGACCGTGCCCCTCAGTGAAGCTGCCATCTGTCTCCATGGACACCGTCGCCACGTGCCTTTAGGCATAGCAACGCCAGCCACTCCCACTGGCCATGCTCCACCTACTCAGGTGTTTTCTTGGGGCGTTGATGAACGATTGACAGCTCTATGGTGAGAAGACAAAAACAGAATGAAGCATTAATGAACAGGCCAAAATGTACAGAATTTATTGAAGCAGGACACAGTGAGATCCACTGACCCCTTTCCCACTGAATTTATTTATAGATTTACAGTATATAACATTTAAAAGTATATTACCGTTATATATACAGAGACTAAGAGAGATTCACCGATGCAACCAACCAAGCACTGGCATCATTTTGGTGAAAAAGTGGTTTGGCTTGTCCTTCTGAAGTGTAATAAGGTATTGATCTAGCAAGACAGAACGAAAAAGATGAGTATGATTTACACGTGATTCTGCAGTCCCGCACACAGTTAAAGGGATACTTCACCCAAAAATGAAAATTAGCCCATGATTTACTCACCCTCAAGTCATCCTAGGTGTATATGACTTTCTTCTTTCAGATGAATACAATCGGAGCTATATAAAAAAATGTCCTGGCTCTTCCAAGCTTTATAATGTTAATAAAGGCTTTCTTAAGTGAAGCGATGAGTTTGTGTAAGAGAAATATTCATATTTAACACATTACAAAGTAAAATTCTAGCTTCTGGCCAAATTCTACTTACGCCTAAAGCGCAACTTACGTAACTTGTGACGTCGGAAGTAGCGTAGTGCTTCATGGCGTAGCGTAAATATCAGCAGTACGTCCACGGGGCAGTATTACTCGCGTAAGTTGCGCTTTAGACTTAAGTGGAATCCGTATGTTCGTTGTGCTGGAAGCTAGTAATTTTATTTTATAAAGTTTTAAATATGTATATTTTTCTTACACAAATGCATCGCATCGCCGTGTGGAGCACTTTTATGATGGATAGATGCACTTTTATAGACTTCAAAACAGAAACGGCTCTTCACTGCCATTATAAAGCTTGGAAGAGCCAGGACATTTTTTTTAATATGACTCCGATTGTATTGGTCTGAAAGAAGAATGTCATATACACCTGACTTGAGGGTAAGTAAATCATGGGCTAATTTTCATTTTTGGGTGAACTATCCCTTTAAGTTTTAACAGACAGATGAATTGCATCACAGAACTATCTCTCACACATGACCAAGGACACAAACAACTGCTTAAACCTTGATGAATTTGGTTATGGAGTATGGATACAGAAGTGTACAAAGACTGCTCGATGTCAGATTGTAAGTAGCCTACTACTTGCAATTTAACGTGCTGAAGAAACGGACATGATTCTAATAAACTCAAAATCAATCTTAAGTGCTCTAAAATATGTGCCTTTAAATCAAGTCAACTCTCAAAATATAGGCTGCGCAATTACAGCAGCCTGTCATTAAAACAAATCATAAATAAATAAATAAATGAGTTTGACTTGAGACTGATCCCATTTCTAGGATGGTTGTTACTATGGCAACTGATCTTCAGTTTAAGAGTGGTCAAAAAATACAAAATTTTAGACTTTCTACATCTGTGGCTGTTAAAGTGGGGCTCAGAGTTTGCCTCTTGAGCACATCTGTGATAATGACCGCAGGAGGAAAGTTTTGATGTTTAACACAATGAGACTGCAGAGGGAGGGAGGGCAATACGGTTGGCATGCCGATGCTGTGCCCCATGCCATGCTGGTAATGAAAAGAGGTCACTGCAGTGGAACTTTTGAATGACAGTACAAGACTTAGATTTAGGGCTCAGATGAACAACTGAAGCCTGACATCTTATGCGCACAGAAGTGAGACTGAGGCAAAAAATAAGTAAGACTGACTTTTGTCAGAGAAGCGGCATCACGGCTTTGCATGTAAAAAACTAAGGAATGGTGAGAGATGGAGAGAGGGAGAGAATGAGAGATGAGTGGGAGGTGCAGGTGCACACTGTGTTGTGAAATCGCTGGAGGAGTTTGGTTTTACCTCCTACCATCTATCCATCATTGTGCTATGCTTGAGATCCATCCATCTTTCTTTAGACTAACCATGCTGTCTCAGCTCTTTCTGCCATTTATCAGACTCTATTTCATTATCGTTGTTTTCCAAGACAATTTGGTCTGTCCATGCTGGTTTTTAGCCTGCCTGGTAAAGCAACAGTTCACCCAAAGATAGAAATTCTGTCATTATTTATTCACCCTCATGTTGTTCTAAACCAGCATATTGTGATTTTTCTGTAGAACACATAATATGTTATTCACACAGCTTTTTTCCATCAAATGACAGATCATAGTGACCTCATCTGTCAAGCTCCAAAAAAGCACCATAAAAAGGATCCACGTGACTTGTGCACAATATTCCAAGTGTTCTGAACTTTCCCTCCACTACAGCTCAGTGTTAAGTATCATTCAGATGCTTTAAAAAATATACATTTTTATTTTGTTTTTATTTTTGTATTTCTATTTTAATTAATTAGTCATTTCTATTAGTTATTATTTTTTTTATATGTCTATATGTCGGCCTGGATCCGGCGGACTGTGGTAAACCTCGGGATAAACAGAGAGACTAATATTAGTGTAAACGCCATCATTCTTATGATGTACCAAGTACATCAGGATTTATGGGAAGTGTTCCCGGTTCCGGCTGACCTAATCTATGCAGCCTAACATTGTATTATAGAAGTCTATAGTGTGTTATGTGTATATGCAAGGCCAAAGAGATGTGTTTTTAGTCTAGATTTGAACTGACAAGAGTGTGTCTGCTTCCCAGACAACGTTAGGAAGACTGTTCCAAAGTTTTGGTGCTAAATAGGAAAAGGATCTACCGCCTACAGTCGATTTTGATATTCTAGGTATTATCAACTGGCCGGAATTTTGAGATCTCAATAGATGTGAAGGACTATAATGCGTTAAGAGCTCGCTCAACTGGGGAGCTAAACTATTTAGTGCCATGATGTGATGTCATGAACGCATGAACTAATTGTTCTCTATTTGTAATTGAGAGCATATGACGTAATTTAGATATATTTTTAAGATGGAAAAATGCGGTTTTACAGATACTAGACACGTGACTTTCAAATGAAAGATTGGTATCAAAGAGCACACCCAGGTTCCTAACCGACGACGAAGACTTGACAGAGCAGCCATCAATTGTTAGACAGTATTCTAGGTTATTACGTGAGAAGTTTTTTGGCCAATAATTAGAATCTCTGTTTTTTCAGAACTAAGTAGTAGGAAATTACTAGTCATCCAGTTTTTTATATCAGCTATGCAATCCGTTAATTTTGTGAATTGGTAAGTTTCGTCAGGGCGTGAAGAAATATAGAGGTGAGTATCGTCAGCATAACAGTGAAAACTAATGCCATGCTTCCTAATGATATCTCCTAAGGGTAGCATGTACAGAGTAAACAGCAACGGTCCTAGTACTGAGCCTTGTGGTACGCCAAACTAAACTTTTGATCGATAAGACATCTCTTCATTTACTGCTACAAACTGATAACGGTCAGATAAGTATGATTTACACCTCGTAATGCAATTCCACTAATGCCAACATAATTTTCGAGTCTATTTAAATGAATGTTGTGGAAGATCGAGTAACACTAATAGAAAGATACAATCACGATTGGATGATAAGAGCAAATAATTTGTGACTCTAATGAGAGCTGTCTCAGTATGGTACGGTCTAAATCCTGACTGAAAATCCTCGGATTTCTTTCTAGAAAGGAACATAGTTGTGAGTATATTGCGTTTTCTAGTATCTTTGAAAGAAAAGGTAGATTGGAAACGTCTGGGATTGAAGCTTTATTTTTAGTTAATTTAGCCACTGTTTCAAATAAATACTTAGGGTTTTGTTTATTTTCTTCCAATAGGGTTGAAAAATAAGCAGATCTAGCAGCTTTTAAGGCCTTTCTGTACGCAATTGTGCTCTCTTTCTATGAAATACGAAAAAACTAAATTTTTCTGGCTGCTCTCTAAGGGCTGAGTGTGCTCGTTGTACCACGGCGTTGGACTATTTTCTTTAATCTTCTTTAAGCGCAAAAGGAGCAACCGCGTATAAAGTGATCGAAAAGAGAGAGTCAAAAGTTTCTGTCGCAACATCGAGTTCTTCTAAGCTATCTGGGATGCTGAGGAAATTAAACTGATCAGGAATATTATTAATAAAGCAATCTTTTAGTTTGTATGGTTTTAGTTCACTATAATAACCCTGCTGCAGCATTCAAATCTTGTTATTCTGCATTTTCACTCTGCCACGATTGGTCACATGATGACATCAAACCTGGCAAACTGTGCAAAGATTCTTCAGAATTTTTCCTTTGCGTTCGACAAGAAAAAATAACAGCATACAGGTTTTAAATGACATGAGGTTGAGTAAACAATCAAAAAATGTTTCTATTCCTTGTATAACAATAGCAGAGGCATTCAAACCACATGTTATAATTTATTGGTGTGTCTCCAAGTCAAAATTGATTTCTAATGAGCATAATAATGGTGGAATTAATATGCAAAGGCATTTGTTTAGACTGTGGAAATGAAAGAGCGTGACAACATGTGCAACTATTCACAAGGCAAGGAGGAACCAAAATAACTCCACATCTAGAAGGAGCTAAAATAGCTGATGATCTAGATTCCTCTTTCCTTTCATACACATTCTCAACAGATCAGGGCCACTTATACCTGCTCTGTACTCCATGTTTCTTGTTGCTGCTTTTTGTCCTAGAAGCAAACTGTAGCCTTTAATCTTATTATAAATTTACACACTCCATCTCATAAATGCTCATTTTCCTTCTTTCAACTGGCATCTTGCAGCCTGATCTGAAGTGCATCTGAAAATCCATTTGGCTGTAATCAGTGAGAATGTGTGTGCGTGTAGGAGCAAAAGATGATGATGGGTGTGATGAAAGTCAAATGATTGACGCAGGCGTATTTAACTTTTTTCCCCTCAATAATTTTGCTGGAGTCACGTGTCTCTGAGCATGTGCATGTGTCCAGTTCTGTTTGAGATTATCAATGTGAGAGGATGATGCCCTGATTTAAATTGGAATGTCATAAGGCATCATATAAGCTGAGAAGTCCATAGTGACTGATAATGGCTATTCAAACTAATGAAAAAAATATATCAATTTGCAATATAGCTATTCAAATGACATCTTGAATTTTATAATACACATGCTCACTGCAGATAACAGGCAACACATGGATTTGCTCGGTAAACAAATCGTCCGTAGTGGCGACATACCCCGCATATGGCATTGCTGCCAATTTTTGTTGTTGTTGTTGCAGTGTGAAATATTAGGAGTCGCGTCCAGATCAAAAGACACCGCTGATTGTCTCTTATTTCTATTCCCAGGCGCGCGCTGTCAAAATGTACCACTTAAACAGACACAAACGAATGAAGAGAGGTGGTAAAATCGACTCGAATGGCAGTCAAGTGGAAATATAGCCTCGTGAGTAGTGTGAAGAAGATGCATCAAGGAGGTTTTTACTCACCTTGCCCCGCGCCGGGAATCCCCGCTACATTCCACTGCGGTCCGTGCAGCGCGCGCGCTACTCTCTCTCACACTCTACAAGAGCGCGAGATTCCTAGGGGCTTCAGGACAGTCCGTTGTCAGGTACGTGCCCGGAATAAATGTCTCACCTTCAGTGGTGCTAAACGATGATAGAAATCGCCACGGTGCTTCTGTGAGTACCGCTATCCTGTGTAGTAGAGGTACTGAACCCGCTCTCTTAGCGCGAGCGCGAGCGCGCGCGCGCACACACACACACACGCATCCACACACACGCACACTGCAGGCTTCATCGTGAAAACGCACGAGCTACTGTCTGCAGTCCATGTGATTCTTAAAAACAAATGTACAAGATACGGTTTCTGCGTGGATGACATTATTATTCCATTATTATTTTTTATTTGAATTAATTAAAACATGAAATCTCAATGGCAGTCATTAGCTGTAAATGTAAATATGAGCGTAAGTATACATGTTTCCTCTAAGAACTTTAATACTCAGCACAATATGAAAGGGCAAAGAAATTGCTTTTCAATGTCAAATTCAATGCAATTTACTCCTTCCTTCCAAAGGCTCTTTAGTAGATGTGGAAAGGGCAATTTAAGAGGCATAAGATCTGAGAGGATGAAGAATGCATCCACATGAAAGAAAAGCTCTTATATATATATATAATATATATATTCAATGTACCAAGGCTTGATTAAAACATTATATAGATTAAGACATGGTTGACCTCTGGAGCCTCAAATTTGATGCACAGTTGTCAGTGACTTACATAAACTCATTAAAAGGCACAATGACGGATTCCTCTAAAGTAACAAAACAAAAATATAGACTGGCACTCAAACGATTTGTTATTAAGCAGACTTGGGAATATAAAACAAAATACCCTAACAGATGGACTGGCTACAATGCAGTCAATGAATAAATATGAGTAAATGAATATGAAAACAGTGTTTGAGTGACAGCCCTGAAAGAGTAGTAATGAGTGTCCGTTGGCATCTTAACAAGATGGTCCAGAATCATTACTGAATCATCAGATGTGTAACAAAGATTGATGCACAAACAACCAAAAACGACAACATAGGGTGACAGCAAATTAACAATGAGAGAAGAGACTATGTAGTTCTGTCCTACAGGTGGTTACTGACCTTTTAATGAGGCTCTAGTTGCCATATAACTAAGGCTAGTCTAACTATTCATAGTAAAAATGAGAGCTCCAACACCATTAAATTCAGACTTGTTCATTACAATCCAATGAACATTTTGTCTAGTCTCATGTTTATTTTTCCCTTTAAATATCAATGTTCATTCCAAGCAAATGTTGAACACGAAGAAAAGACTGATCACTTTACAGTGTATGAATGTATACCTGGAAACTTTTTATGTGTTATTAAATCTGGCAGACAGGGTTTGTCTTGTGCAAATAAAAATGTAAACTGCTCCATCACTTTAAATGAACAGGTCTGTAGGAGTGTAATCCATATACTAAAATGGAACACAAATACTGAATATAATTAATAAAATACATGAAAACAATAAAAATCAATCAACAATATAAAAATATCTTTAAAAATAGCACCATTTGTCCAAGTAAACATGCAACATCTGATAATGAAAGAACATTCTTCTTTTCAAGCAGATAAAAATACAGATCTACATTTACAGTACAATTTTGTACAGCATAGACTTATTCTAAGAACGAGTCTAAGATCAATTCTTTAAGAACTGGAATATTACAATGTATTCTTGTTTCTGTTTTTAGCACCTGAGAAAATGTCAGTGGGTGTAAATATGTGGCATCAAGGATTAAGTGAGAAATGAAAGATAATGTGGTATGCTGTGACTAACGTACATGTATATTTGCGTATAAACTTATTTACCTAAATGTTTTTGTGGATCCGTACATGGACAGTATGTTATGTTATAAACAATATTTCTATTTTAACTTTGCCTGCAATACAATATAACTAGATGAATCTAGACTGGCAGCAAGATTAACAGATGTTTGGCAGCTCAACAGTCACAAAATAAATAAACAAGAAAAAGATCTTTAAGATCTGATCAATATTTAAAATTTGCTTGTCCCATTGAGGAAAAGGTGTTGACATCAATCTTTACCTCAATCTCTTGTGCATGATGGCAGAGTTCAACACTGAGGTTTAGGTTTTTATATTGTTGATGAGTTAGAGATCCATTTACAGTCAGCTCGTCTTCAACCTAAAACACAATTCTATAACAGAATAGACAGGATTGTAAGGAAAACCTCTTATAGATAGATGCAGTGCAAAATCTTATCTCTATCCTATCCAATAAATAATTCATGAACAAATATGCATTAATGCACCATGTGTCACCTTCAGCCCAGTCTGTGTTAATGTACCTTCTTACTGTTGCAGACAGAGTTTCTCACACTCTTCCTTCTGTAAATAGCGATTAGCGTTCCCTCCACAGCCGCTGTAGATAAAAGGTCTACAGGCGCCCACCTGAGAGTTAAAGTACCAGCGCAGAGTAAACCGGGTACAATCACCCTCTTCCATGGGCAAGATGCAAGAGTCTAAAAACACACATAAAGGAATGGTTCAATGGTTGAAAGTCTGGGGTCAGGAGGATTTATTTTATTTTTTTTGTTCAGCAAGGATGCATTCGTTTGATAAGACATTTATGTTACAAAAGATTTCTATGTAAATGATTAAAAATGCATTTAACTTTATATTTATCAAAGAATCCTGAAAAAACATCTATAATGGTTTCCAGAAAAATATTAACCCTCTAGTGCTCTTCGCGTGGCGGTAAAAAATGAAGGATTTTTTTAAACTTATTTTTTAAATGAAAAATATTTTTTTAAATATATATATTGTTTTATTTCAATGAAAGGAATGTCCTATATTTTAGTTTGATAATGTTTTTTATTTAATATTTTGTATTTTTAGGGGATTGTATGGTACTACATTATATTTACGCAGTAGTTATAATCCATTTATTCACGTTTTGAGCATAGACCTGAAATTTAAATTTCCAACTTAAACTGTCGTAAATCTTTAATGCTATAAAAGCACCACCTTAAGTGAAAAAAGTTAACTTAACATTTTTTTTTTTTACAGAATTTTACATTTGTTATGAAAAATGCACAAAAATAATATTTTCAATTTTTATATGAAATCTATATTTTAAAAAACACATTTTACTCTAAAACTGCAAGAAAAATCAAAGCCATAAATCTAAACAAGTTGTGTTGCAAATTTGAGCTTGATATCTCAAATTAGCTTTCAGTAAGATTGTTTGGCCGCAGTACCAAAAGATTTCACTAGATGAAATTCGCCTCGATTTTCCATGATTTTTTTGCGTGTTCACATTGCAAGTGCCAAAACCGTTACCAAGTTTCGTACCATTCCGATGAAGTAAAAGAAAAAAATATTCGATCAAAAATTACCGATAATAACAATAAGAAATGTTTCTTGTGCACCGAATCAGCATTTTAGAATGATTTCTGAAGGATCATGTGATACTTAAGACTGGAGTAATGATGCTGAAAATTCACAGGAATTATAAAATGTTAAAAAAGAGAACAGTTGGTAATACTTTATTTCGATAATACTTTAGTCCACTTTAGACATTCTACTAACTATAAGTAACTTTGCAGCTACATGTCAACTACCAGTCATTAGAGTATTAGTTGACGGTCAGCTTAATATCTACTTGCACTTTATTATGATGCTCCCCCAACAGACATTCTAATAACTAGAAGTAACTATGCAACTACATCAAAATTATTCCACTAACATGAACCTTAACACCTAACCCTCTACTAATAATCTAATGAGAGTAAGTTGACATGTAGTTGTAAAGTTAAGTTACTTGTAGAATGTCTAAAGTGGACCATCGAAATTAAGGGTAAACAAACAGTTATTTTAAGGTAATGATATTCACAATATTACAATATTGTCTGTATTTTAATCAAATAAATGCAGTATTGGGGAGCATAAGAGGATTTTCAAAAACATTACAAAATCGTACCGACCCTCAAAATTTTCAGCTACATGGCCAAAAGTATGTGAACGCCTACCACTAATTTACAGGTTTAGCTTTTTCAGCTACATCCAATGCAGAAACATTTCATAATCAACACATTTATATATCCTGAATTAATGCAAATTGAACAATATGGCGAAAGAGAGTCATTAAATGCACACAAGGCAGATTCAACTCTTAAACTTGTCATTATGGCATCTCTAGTTGAGAATGCCACAGAGATCTGTAGAAATATCCAGCTCTTTTCTGTGGCGGGACAGCTGCTTGCAATCTCATACTAAGAGCTGTCATGCAGATGAGTCAGCGGGTTTACAGCATGCAGCAGATACACAGAGAAACAACAGGAAGTGAGCACAGCAAAGAACAAAGGAAGTGTGCAGCAATTACAGAGTGCAAAATTATGATAATCCATCATCAGTTCTGTTAGGGGTTTGAAGACCGTGACATCAACAAAGCAAAAGTTTAATGCATTCCTACAGATAGCATTTCTAAGTATTCTGTCCCCAACAATAACATGGAAAAGCAGTAAAAATGTGAAGAATGTATTAATAAAATATGCACCATCAACATTGTTATTTCCACAGTAAAGCTATAGGCAGGTGCTCCAACATGCAACATCACGAGTGATGGCTTACCTTCACCTTTCACCTCTCTTTTTGTCCTTTCAGCTTTTAATGAATCAACAGAGACTGTTTGACCTGCCAAGATATCAATATATTATTCTGTGTCTGCACATACAATTACAAATTTTCTGAAGAAAAAGGCATACCCTGGCTTTTATTGACAGTGGTGTCATAGTCAGCCATCTCCACCGCTGGAGCGTCATCATCATAGGTCTCTATAGAGTAAATGTGCTCATAGTCTGGATCATTTGTGTTCATCACAACACGCAGCTTTGGACCTGCAAAAAAGAAAGAAAGAAAGCTTTTGCAAATCAGAGTTTAGAATGCTGGAATATCGTAGTTTGAAATCATTCGATGTACATGTGCAACTGGATAATGTTAAATACCACCATGTATTTAACAGATCCCACTTATTTTCATGGCAGAAACATAATTTCTGTTTAAAGGGGTAGTTTAAAGAGAAAAATTCATTATTGTCATCTTTTACTCAACCTCATGTTGTTCCAAACCTGTATGACTTACA